GTACTGACATTTGTACTTCTCTCAAACGTGAATTTTATTCATATATTCACAAATAACTATCAAAACTGGAATAGGGACTCATGATCTTTCTGAAAAGCACACAAAAATGGAAGAACATAGAAATAGGGTCCCAAAATTGAAATTTCCAAAGGTGTCCTTCCTGTCAGTTTCTTCAGTGATATGTCCTGAATCCCACATTGGGAGAGGAAGGGGGTCCTTCATTTTGTTATCGCAAACAGTTTTCATGACCCTGCTTGTCACACCCCAGCCCTGCCCCCGAGGATCACCCGGTGGGGCAGGGCAGGCTGACGAGGGACAGCGCTCCGGTTTAGAGACTAGAAAGGGGTCACACGCATTAATGTGTTAAAAAATGCAATACATGTGACAGGAAGGAGCATTCCATAAAATTCAATCTCTCTCTCTTTTTTTAAATCCTCACCCGAGGATATTTTTCCATTGATTTTTAGAGAGAAGGAAAGACAGAAAGAAACATCGATGTGAGAGAAACACATCAATTGGTTCCTCCTGTAGGAGGTCTGACCAGGGCCTGGGTCCGGGAGGAGCCTGCAACCAAAATACGTTCCCTTGACCCAAATCAAACCCGGGACCCTTCAGTCCACAGGCCGATGCTCTCTACCCACTGAAGCAAACCGGCCAAGGCTAAAACCCAATCTCTGTTCTTGAGATGTCTTAGCAGTTAATCTGATAAGAGCCTCTCTCCCTAAAACTGGGGGCCGTAACCCGAGTTAATGGGGACGTGCTGAGAGCTCGCCCTCTGAGGCCAAGGACACAGATGCCACTGGCAGCCTTCCCGCGCCAGCTCAGCCTGATGTGACTGGGCAGCGGGGGGAGTTGTAAAGAAACAACACTCTATTCACAGAGGGCCGAGTGCGCACCGGGTCTGAGCGTCTACAGAGAAAGGATGCTAATGAACAGGGAGTTTAGCAAAGCTGTTGGAGTCGATATCTATGTGCAAGATTCAACTTTCATTCTATATGTCAGCAACTAGGTTGGGAAAATAACTTTCACAATAGACATTACTTACAGCATCCCAAGCCCAGGGGTGATGCCAGGGGCACTTCCAGAAAAAGCAGAAAACGTGCCAGAGGCACAGAGAGGCCCCAGTGAATGGAGACCACGCCGTGGGCTAGAAAACTATAGATTCTCCTGGGTGTGTTAACTCTTTCCAACTTGACTTATAGGATCAAAGGAACTTCTATCCAAATCCCAACATGTGTTCCTGGAATGTAACATGATGATTTCAAGACGTACAGGGAATGCAGTCAATCCAACACACATGGGCCGCCTGGCACCGCGGTGCGTCGGAGGCTAAAACCCACCAGGACTGCCTTGTGCAGTTTCGCCGTGAAACACCAAGTGATCAAAGGTGGAGGACGCCCCTGCAGGACATGGGACATATAATGACAAGCAAGATTCAATATCAGATGTCACAGTCCCAGCGACAGGAAGACACGGTCCAGTTTCTACGGAGCAGAGAGGAAAGGGGCCTGCGGTCATCCGGTTCCCGGGGTCGGGGTGGCCGGGTCTTCTCTCTACCAATCCCCGCCTCTCGCCGCCCTGTCCCCCTACCAGCCCGCAATCTCAGTTAAGGAAGTCCTAGCGTTCGGCAGTGATCTGAGCGCCCGGCATCACGAGGCCGCGGCGTGGTTGCCTGGGAAACGCTCACGTGCCGCCGCAGGGATACCTGGGTCTTGTAGTTCGCCAACGGCCTCGCCTGGGCTGTCCGCGCGGGAAGGACTACAACTCCCAGGAGGCAGCGCGGCGGGCCGGGGCGGGGCCTGGCGGGACCGCTAGTTAGAGGCACTGGGTCTCCGCGGCCATAGGAGGAAGATGGCGTCGCGGAAGGACGGACC